AGGGAGAGGGAAAATAATCTTTATTAAATTATTAAAACATATCAGAGACTTCCATACATTTAAGTCAATTCTCACAACGACCTTACTAGGCAGTTATCTTCATTCTATATATGTTACCTATGCATATTTTCAAGTCTATATTATGTATATAGATGTAATATATATGTACACATACACACATGTACATATATATTATTTTACACATATATACACACGTGAATATTGTCAAGGTTAAACCACCTTCTGAAGAACAGAGTCATTAAATTGGCAGATCCAGACTTCAAACCTCAGTCATCTTATTGTCCACTCAGATTTGTTATGGCAAGATTCAATGAAATAGGTATTCAGGAGAAGCCAAAAATGTGGGAACAAACAAAGCTTTATTGAAGCGCATGACTGACACCATTGACCAAGAGTCAGAAAAACAAGATGTCAACAACCAGAGAACTCTGTGTTGGGTTTTTATACTTTTACAAGTAACAATGGTAATCACATTACCTCATTTAGGAATTTTACAAAAATGCCACATCATGGTCACAAGGTTTACATTTCCCAGGGTTTTGTTAGTACAGTTAAATTTTAGCTTACCTACAATTTAACTATTTTTTTTTCTCATTGTGTACCTCTGTTCTCCTTTTGTTAGCTATAAGGGAGAGAGTGCAGAATTGAGTTCATCTAAAATTTAAGTAACTTCTAAAATGGAGTTACGTGGAGTCTCTCTTGCCCTATCAGGTTCATCTACTCAGGTTCATTTGCTTGCTGCTGACCAAAGTAAATAATTTCTTATGGTGACAAGGTAAAAGGATTTATTCAAAGCTAGCTCTAAGGAAGTGGAGGGGAACATTTACCTCAAATCACCATCTCACAGTGTATAGGTGGGTAAGGGCCTTTAAAGAATTGATCCATAGGCTATGGCCTTCAAGAGCACAGTGTGCCTTGTGTTGGAGTTACACTGCCAGATGACCAAGTATCAGAAGGAACGTGCACAATGTGTAGCTTTAAAATGTCAACGTGCTCTGAAGGATGGCTTTACTTCTGAGACCTAAGAAAGATTAAAAATGTACTACACATTGGTGTATTTGTTTCTTCACTTAACTGGCAATTTATGCTATTTTGGACTCCATTCCCTACTCACCCTTCAGATTGCTAATGTCTATGTACCTGCACAACAATGAGGTCAGCCCATAGTTCAGTAATACTCATTTCAGTGTTTTGGCAGAGATGCAGTAATTGCCTGTCAAGATGTTGAATGAGAGCTTCCTTCTTGGGATGGTAGTCTGGATAACCAAAAGGTCTCTGGGCCTATTTCCTTTCTCATAGTTCTTACACCTATGAATGACCACAGAGAGTTGTTAGATTCTTGATTTCATTTCATATTACTGACTTAGAACCATTGGCTTGACAGTGTGCATTCTAATGACCTCTCTGGGTGATCTGGACGCAAACTGAAATTTGAGAATCACTGCTGTAAGGAAAAGAGCTCTGCCAGTTCCCATTCAATTCCAGTGTGTAGGCAAACTTCTCAGCTTACTTATGGGTGCCAATGAGCAAGACAATGGCGAAGAACTGCTGGTGGCCCTCATATTTCCCTTGCTTCTCCAGTACCAGCATGAAGTGCTGGCTGAAACACGACTGCATCATCACCCAGTCCACAGCCCCCGGCAGGTTAATGTCTGTAGCTAGGAAAACAGTGTTTTCTCCCTGAAGAGTGGTAATGCTCCTGTGGGTGTGCATTAGGTGGGACGTCATGGCTTCCAAGGACCCTTGCCCCTTGCAGGAGGCACTGGGACAGGGGCAGGAGTAGGAACTGGCAGAGATTGACCTGGGAGGCCACACCGTGGTCCATTCACGACGGTGTGGCCACAGCCATCGTGAACAGTGACTGCCTTGTTTTTGACGCAGCCATAGCACATCTTTTTGCAGACAATGGGAACCTTGTCTTTTTTGCAGACAATGGGAAAAATCAATGTAACTATTTCTACATGTTGTCCATGAAGCCCCTCGAGGCTTTCATAAACCATTGAGATTATTTGGGCATAGTGTTCTATGTTTCATAAAGGTTTTATAGATGTTTTATTCAATATGTCTTCACAGGTCAGGACCCAAAATTACCCCATGTTTTGTTTGAACAGCAACTTCCCATCTGGTACTAAACCAATGAAGATCATTAAACTGGGATGAGTGGGGGGAAAAAAAGAAAGAAAAGAGCTCTCAAATGGGAGGGAAGAATTCTGGACTCGAGTTCCATTGTTTCCATGTTGTCTTTGTGTAACCCTGATCAACTCACTTGCCCTATCTGGGCCTCAGTCAGCTCTTCATAAATGAGGGCATTGCAGTAATTTGTCTCTGGGATTTCCCTCTACTCTAAGACTTTTACAAAATGTATAGTGCCTGTTTCACTAACCTACTGAATATATTTGACTTCGTTTTTTTTTACCCTCAAGGTCCTTAATTTTTTACTGATATATAAGTATACATAATTTATGTGAATTATTGGAATACAGAAGCAAGGCCCAATTTTTCCAGTACCATAATTAAACCAGTCAGTAATATGCCTTACCACCTGGACCAAGTTAAAGGCCCATAATTCTCATCTAAATTATTAAAATAAAAATACTGTCAATACCCTTAAAATATTGCCAAGTGTAAGAGTTTATTTCTCAAGCATTTGGGTGGTCCAAATTGTCTAACCTCGTTCACCTTGGAGTGCTCTCCTCTGGGATTTAGAGAGGTAGATGCTGAGTCAGGACTTGGACGCTTAATGATTGATTGAGAGGTGTTCCTCAGCCTGTGACCTATAGGAAGGCATGCCCCGGCCTGTGCTAACTGCTATCCTAAGACCTTTTCTTTTCTTTTTTTTTCTCTGTTCTGTGCTGGAAATGGAACCCAGCGCCTTGCACAGGCTATGCGAACATTCTAGGACTAAGCCAGTGTTAACCATGTGCTAGGTACTGGGGTACAAAGAAAGAAGTTACTTTCTGCTCTTCAGTAGCTAGACAATTAGTAAAAATTTACTCAAGTTTTGTATGCTCACTACAGGGAAACCTAACCTTAAATGAGTACTTTAGGAAGTACTCCTCAAGGGAGGCAACTACCAGAATTAACACTTAACAAAGAAGTTAGCCAAATGAAAAAGAGAACAAGAGGCAACTAATTTTGTTACATGCTTAGCTTTGTAAAGTGTCTTTATCACAATCAGGAGCAAGCATGTTGCTACTTTTTCTTCTGGAAAGGTTTACTGAAATTGATCAAAGGCAACCAAGTGACTGTTGAAAATAAGGATACACCAACAGTGCATGTCAATTTAAAGAAAATCATATCAGAAATATTTGGAACTAAGGTTGATGTTTTACATTAGTGCAATGTTTGTTTTGTACAAAGACTAATTCACTAAAAATACTCAGTGAAATTTTTAAAAAGAAAAAAATGAAACTGAAAAAGTTCACTCTACCCAAGGTATGTTTGGTAAAATAGTTTCTAACTTAAAGTAAAAGAAGTATGTTGCAAAACTGTGTGTACAGAATACTACTATTTTTATGAAAAATGCACTACTTAGGTGGTTTTATGAACATGACATTTGAAAGGACACACAAGCAAGTCAAGGCCTTGTGATACGGAATTCTTCCAGAGAAGAGACCTTTGGTGGGTAAGGGACAAGGATAAACAAGAGACTTGACTGTATACTTTTCTATATCTTTTTTTTTTTTTTGTGGTTTTTCGGTTTTTCTCCGGTACCGGGAACCGAACTCACGACCTTGCGCTTGCCAGGCAGGCGCTTTTGCCGCTGAGCTAAATCCCCAGCCCCACTTTTCTATATCTTTAAATTTTGAATTTTGTGAATGTATTGCTTTTCAAAAGAGTTGTACATTATTTTAGGTCTCCACATTTTATATGTTTTTATAAGTATATACATACCTTACACATGGGTTTTTGTAATATTTTAACTATTTTTCATTCTGGTTCTTTTGAAAAGATGTTATACATTAGGATGAGGAGGTAGGAAGAATGTGTGGGATGGACATTTACCTTTTACTTTGTATTGCTTTATTGTAAAAAGAGATTTAATAATTGAAAAAATCAAGCACACATAAAAGATTTAGTACTGTGGGACTAGGAGCACTGGGCAAAAAGAGGAAGGCATTTTTTTATAATTCAGCCATAAATGTAGGAGAGACTCGGCCCTGTTAACTTAATATTGAATCACATTATTTCCTTAAGTCCTTCTGATAGGTTAAAGTAAAAAGACCATACCATTCAAAGACTCACAATGAAACAGTAATCTGACCTTCACTTTTATAGTCACTTCTATGGAGAATAACAAAATTTTGCATATGAAAGAGTTAATTAAGAGGCAAAGAGTATGAAAAGAAAGGTAGTCAGTGACCATTTATACAACTGTTATGAAGATACACCTTATCTTCAAAAGTGCATACTCTTTGGGACTACTGACAATACTTTGGGATTTAGAGTCAGAAGACCAGAATAATGGCTCCATTATTGATTAACTGTATTACTTTGGTTAATCATCTACCCCAATAATTAATCAACTATCCTATACTATTAGATATCTCACAAAGTTGTTAAAAAATATAATATACAGTATGTGAGAGCATGTTGTAAACTCTAAAGTGTTGTGCAAATAATATAACTATCACGATTTATATAACCATAGTTATATAGCTACAACACACAGTAGCAGTGATAATGACATTCAGTTCAAGTAGTTTGTCATATATTGTCCCTAAGGACATTTTCCCCTGTATTCACAAAATTGCAGGGCAGTGTGTAAAGCAAACAGCTTCTAGGAAGTCCCTGGCTCAACTTTTGGCATTTTGACTTATTTCAGTGCATGGGAAAATGGTAACAATTAATATATCATAATACACTAGAGAATTATGTGGTAATAAGGAAACAAGATAGAAATCTGTCATTGAGCTTTGTCTTTTTGAACTCTTAAAATGGATAAAAATTAATATAAACACTTTTTTTTAAAATTTCAGTTATCTACCTCATACTCTACCATGCCATCTTCGTGTTTTTTGCCTGGACCTACTGGAAGTCTATCTTTACACTCCCACAGCAGCCAAACCAGAAGGTAAGAATATTGGTTATTTCATAAAGGATAAGAACAAAGTAGAGATGCTAATAAAGGAAGAAGTAGATAAAAGTAATAACAAATAAACTTACATTACAAAAGAAAATCAGGATTTTCTTTTTCTTTCTTTCTTTCTTTCTTTTTTTCTTTCTTTCTTTTCTTTCTTTCTTTCTTTCTTTTTTCTTTGAGATGTTCCCCAGCTGACTTCCAACTCCTAGACCAAAGTGATCCTTCTCCCTCATGCCAGAGAAGGTAGGAATACAGGTGCATGCCACCCTGTTCAATTCAGGATAATTTTAAAGAAGGACTCTTAATGAGAAAGGTGACTTAAGGGTTGAATAGGATATTGAGGGAATTTATGAATCACTAGCACTGTATATCTCTAAGACAAGGAGCTAGGTGTAGTGGCACATGCCTAGAATCACAGCACTTGGAAGGCTGAGGCAGGAGGATTACCATGAGGTCCAGGCCAACCTGGGCTACTTAGTGAGTTTAACACCAACCTAGACTACATAATGAGATGCTGTCTCAGAAAACAAACAAGCCAACAAAAAAGATAAGGAAACTATTGCTTGTATTGGTGATTTAATCAGAAAAAAATACAATTGGATTCTGAGACTCCATCTAGTTTAATACTATGAAACCATATTTAGTAGCCAGCAAGTCTCTGGCAGGCAATTCTAAGGGAAAAAAAATATAATAGTTAAATCAATAATTTCCAAGTTATATTCTTTTGAAACCATGAGTTTCTTGTAATATTGGGAAAGACTCATTGTTATGGTCAATACATTGTGTCAGTTTGAGGAGTTTAGAGGCTTGGCTAAGTGACTCAGCAGTTCTGCATCTTGGGTAAAAAAGACATGCCCTTACCCTTCTGGGATGTTGTTCATTGTGTCAATTTAAAAAGTTTCAAAGGTTAACTGTGTGACTCAGCAGAGAGCCAAGGTGCTTACTCTGTATTCATCCTGAGCCTGTACAAAAAAAAGGCATACAGAGGGTGTGGATGTAGAGGACCAATCTCACCCCACCCCCAGAGCAGATAGCCTACATAAAAAAAAATTCAGAGCTCCAGTGTTTGCCTTCAGCTTGGTCATCTCCTGGCTTCTGGTGCAGACTGTTTGGCTTCTGCCTGGGACTCTTCAGCCTTCTGGTGTAGGCTGTCCGGCCTTCGTCATAAATTCTTCAGCGTTCGTCACAGACCCATCAGCCACCTAATACAGACCTACATGGACACTGCAGTGAGCTCCAGGCCTGGGGCTGGACTCTTCAATCCCCAGCATGCAGACACTCTCTGCACGCTTCCTCATCCAACTCTGTGGCTGACCATTATAAGCCAAACTTAGAATTTCTTATACATTTATATATCTTGTGTTATATCTGTTTCTCTAGTAAACCCTGACTGATACACTCATGAAGGAATTTGTCATCTTATGAAGCATTTATCATGTGTGACTAGTCTAAACCAAGTTAGGTCCAAAAGTACATAAAACAATGGATGAGACCTTACCAACTTCCAAACACTAAGTGAAACAATGTCATGAATCATCTCATTCACAGAACCAAAATGATTTTTACAATAACTGAAACATAGCCTCTCCCAACATGATCAAACAGGCCCACTCCAGACTGCACAGCACACACACACGTACAACTCATGCAAGGAAGCTACCATCCAACCAACTTCAAGCTGGCTCTACATTTGCATTCCACTTGTCACAGGGCAGCAGAGTTGAGGACTAAACAACTGACCTGATCATCATGAGGACAATGCCCAGGGACAGAAGGGAGCAACCAGAACGTGACTGTTGATATTATGTCCACCAGTCCACTTGAAACCCATCTCTACATGGCCTACATCCAGCAAAGACCAGAGGGCTGCATGTATTTCCCATTTACCAATGAAAGCAAGGCTGAACTTTGGCTGGGACAGTAACCACAATATGGGGATAATAAACGGAGGGGCCTATGGTGCAGGGAGGGTACTTCATGCAGGTGAAGAAAACTGTGACTGGTTGGATTCCAAGACTGCAGATCTTAGAAACAAAAGACTCATTTAAAAACACTGGAATTTTTCTTTGACTGTCTTTCCTCCTTTTTATTATGTTTATCTTTCCTTTATCGAGGTATTTGAGGATTTGTGGTATTGTTCTTTTTATTTTTTCTCTATGTCTTTTCTATCCTTTTCTTTTACCCTTTCAAATTTTTTCTTTTCCTGATCTTTCTTTTATTTCTTTTATCTTGCTCTCTGTTTATCCTTTTTTCTTGTTCATTCTTTCCTTTGACTGTGCTTTAACACTAATAGTTTCCTTTTCCTCCACAATAGGACCCTCATCTCATTTTTGTCTCCTACTCATATCCCATTGATTAATTTTTAATTGTTTTTCATTCTCTGCTTCCTTGCCCCCTCTACTTTTACTAGTATAACTACTGAACTTTATGAATCTCTAAATAGCTAGTTAAATTTATGTGATGGCTATTGAATACTGATTTATTGTCAGGAGAGGTAAAGTTGTATATTTACAGTAGATATTTACTATAGCCTATAATAGATAAATATTTGGTTTGACGGTGTTCATACTACAATTATAGGTCTCTTTTCTGTGAGTAAGGGTAGAATTTTTTGGTCTTTGGGTTTTGTTGATATTCAGTTTGTATTTAATGCTATAATTCATGCTGATTTTATTACTGTAGCCACGACAACATAGCTGTTGTATTAACTAGTTCTCTTGGAATGCCAATATCTGGATTGCTGAGGGTCATTAACAATACTGTGTTCCATTCCTGGGAAATTGGGTATGCTGCAACCTCCCACTCAAAGGAAACAAAAGTGATTAGGTCCTGGATCAGAGGTAAAGGCCACTAGTTAGCAAACCCAAGAGGACAGCAATGAAAAGTAGACATTAACTAAAAAGGTCTCCATACTACAAAAAAAGCTTTTCATTACATCAATTTGCAATCCTCAACACAATCAAACAAACTAACAAAAAACTAGAAACATGAAAAGATAAGCCAACAAACCACTTCCAAAAACTCCCCAAATCCCCCAAAGATTATCCAGGTAGTCCTCATCCCAGGGATGCAAGTATGGTTCAATATATGCAAATCAATAGATGTAATACATGATACAAATAGAAGCAAGGGCAAAAATCATATGATCATCTCAATAGATGCAGAAGAAGCCTATGATAAAATACAACCTATGTTCATAATTTTTAAAAAACACCAAATAAAATAGGTAAAAAAGGATCTTACCTGAATCTTGCAGCCGTATATGACAAACATATTGCCAGCGTCATATTAAATTGAGAGCAACTGAAAGCTTTCCCTGTAAAATTAGGAACATGACAAGAATGTTTACTATCACTCCTGCTGAACATACTACTTTAAACATTAGCAAGAACAATTAGGCAAGAAAAAGAAATATAAAGGATTTGTATAGGAAAAGAAATAGTCAAATAATATTTACAGGTGACATGATCTTTTACATAGAAGACTAAAAAATGCACTAAAAGATGCTGAGAATTCAAAACCAAATTCAACACACAAAAATCAATAGCATTCTGGTACACTAATAATGAAACCACTGAGAGAATGAAACTGTGGGAAAAATATACCATGCACGGTAGCACCAAGAAAAACTAATTAAGGAAGTGAAAGACCTCTACAACAAAAACTACAGTACTCCAAATAAGGAAATTAAGAGGATATCAGAAAATAAGATAAACCCTGTTCACTGATAGGCAGAACTGATATAGTCAAAATGACAATAATTCCAAAATTGATATATAGATTTATGCAATTTCAATCAAAATGGCAACAGCATTCTTCACAGAATTGAGAAAAATAATCCTAAAATTCATATGGAACCAGAAAAAGCCAGAATAGCAAAAGCAATCCTGGGTAACAAGACAAAGTGGTAGGCACCATAATGCCAATTTCAATTTCTATTACAAAGCTACAGTAATACAAAACTGGCACAAAATTAGACATGACAATCAGTGGAACAGAACAGGGAACATAGAATCATCCCCAAACACATTCAACTATTTCATCTTGACACAGGGGCCAGAAATGTACAAGTGGAAAGACAATCTCTTTAATTAATGGTGTTGGGAAAACTGGCTGTCTACACACAGAAGCCTGAGTCTAGTCCATATGGGACGTTTTATCACGTCCTTAACTGAAATCTAAATGGATCAAGGAACAAATGTTAAAACAGAAACACTCAATCTACTGAAAGATAAAATAGGTAAAACACTTGAAGTCATAGGGAAGGACTTTCTGAACACTGTCCAGGGAACTAGTATTGAGAATCACCAAATGGGATCGTATTGAATTAAAAAGCTTCTGCACAGCCAAAGAAATAACAGGGCAAATGCCAGGTGTGGTGCTGCATGCCTGTAATCCCAGCACTCTGGAGGCTGAGGCAGGAGGATCTTTGCATGTTCGAGACCAGGCTGGGCTACAAAGTGAGCTCAAGCCCAGCTTGAACTGCATAGCAAGACCCTGTCTCAAAAAAAAAGTTAATATCCAGATTATAAAAGTACTTTACAATTAAATAACAACAAAACAACTCAATTTTTTTTTTTTTTTTTTTTTGTTTGTTTGTTTTTCTCCCAGTACCAGGAATCAAACTCATGACCTTGCACTTGCCAGGCAGGCACTTTGCCACTGAGCTAAATCCCTAGCCCCCTCAGTTTTTTTTAATGGGCAAGGAACTTAAATAGAATTTTCTCCACAATAGACATAGACATGATCATGAAGCACACAAAGACTTATTGAATGAGCCGTGTGTGCTGGTGGATATTTTTAATGCCAACTAATCAGGAGGCTGAGGCAGGAGGATGGCAAGTTTGAGCCAAACCTGGGCTAGATACCAACATCAAGGTCAGCCTGCATCTTACACAACGTTGCTGGTAATGTAAAATGTTGCAGCCACTATGGAATATTGTATATTGGTTCCTTAAAGAATTAAAATAGAACTACCCTGTGATCTAGCA